TGACAGAGATGTCTCAAGTGGGTCCCTTTGTTTGATCACTACTGCTACATTGTTCTTTGTTGTTCAGGGTACCCCTATTTGATGGACAGCTACAACGTAGAATAAAAGGACAGAAATTAGTATGTTCAAAAAAGAAAACATGCTTTAACAATTCAAAATTAAAACTTTATTCACTCACAAGTTGATTGGGCTCAAAACGATGCGCGAAGCGCACTGCTTGCGCCCAGTGGACGACTTTTCGATTCCCCTGTTGCGTTTCAGCACATCTTTCCAGACGATACCATCCTTTTTGACGTGTTCAACCTTGCAGCCAAATGAAGCTATAATACAGCCGAACATCGGTCGCGCTTCTTGCACGGAGACTTCGGGAAATGGGATTGCTGGGATTTGACGTGGAATTATGCCCCATAGGCCAAGGTCGGGAGCGCTGGCAGTTCGCAAAAATAACGAGGGCCAAATTGTGGTAAGACGCTGCCATCAAACGAAAGTCATGGGGTGTGTAATATAATCGTTCGGTTACATTATATGACATTTTAGCAAGCATGTACAAAATCGATTAACAGAATCAGCACATGTGGAAAAACTAGTATCAAAGTTTTTTGGTTTCCTTAAAGTTTTTTAGACAGCAAGCCAGGTCGAAAGCCGTGACGGAAACCGTCGTTCATGCTCACCTCGGCTGTCTTCGAATCGGGGTCGAGCCATTAAACACAGCGTCTGCACAGTCAGTAGTAGTAGAGACTAGTACAAGTGCCTTATATAGATGAATCTAATCTTATTGTAGATCAAATCCGCAAAGGGACTGATATGCGATTAGATCACTATTCATGGCAACGCCCTCTTCTTTTGCGGTTCATTGCAGGAGCTTTGGATGTTATCCAAAATGCTTCTAGCGTTTTACGAGGAATTATTTCGGGTTCACGCGTTAAGATTGTGACGGCTACATCAAATTGTTGATCCGAGTGATACTCTCTGCGATGTGCGCCTAGGGGAGTGTTCGGTTTAGATTTTACAAGACCATCTAGGTGCTCTTTGATTCTCACGCAAAGAGGCCTGCCAGTCTCTCCTACGTACTCTTTTCGCAAGTTTGACAAGTTATTTGATAAAGTACTCCTGCCTCCATGCAATCGCCTGGTTGACCAAATGGGCATACGACACAATCGGTGTTCATGCACAGTCGATCGTAAGAGCGATTACGAATTAGTTGTTTTCTAAGACTTGGAGGAGGAATATCTACAATGCTAACGGAGTCATTAAGGCCTGCTTGTTCTAAGCTTTTCCTTATCGCTTTGCTGAATTCTTTAGATAAAAAAGGAACACAAAAAGGTATTTTTGCTTCACTCTTGCTTGTGCGCGATTTGTATTCGTGCCAGGTACGTTTTGATAAATGGTTTGTGGGGTAGCCATTGGACTTCGCAATCTGTCTGGCAAGACTTAACAATGTAGCGCGTTCTTGCTTGGAGGAAACTGCCTTTGCAGTCCCAAACATATTGGAAATCACCGACCTTTTTGTGCTCCAAGGATGGGCCGAGTGATAGTGTACCAGGATATTTTTGTTGCTTGGTTTTCGAAACCATTTGGTCTTGTATGATCCATCATGCAACTGTACTTGGATGTTAAGGAAAGGCAGCCAGTTTTCGCTGGGCTTCTCTCTTCTCTCTTGCGTCTGTGACAGAAAGCAAAGCAGAGCGAAGAAGAACATAAAGGCAGTATAAACAACAGCGATACGCGCTTGCCTCTAAATCCTTTTCCACTCTAACTTTTGAGCCACAAGGTCCCCATCAAGTGATAGACGCAAAATTTCGAATACTAGCCACATCCGTTCTCACACTTCTAACACGCTTTTCAAAAAGACATCCCATCTCCAATTTAATACCTGCTCAGTATCTTGGTCTCCGCGAACTTCATGAACTACGCGCTAGTAATAAGATCAAGATATCCATTAGCGATAAAGGAGAGAATTTCGTCGTTTTGACAGGGGAACTAGATATGGCTATAACATGACACCACTTGAATGATGAGACACTATATCAGGCTTCCTCTGAGAACGAATTTGCAAAAGAGTATCGCCGCTTGAACAGACTATGGACAGATATTGCAAATTCTGTTGGCTTACCGAAGAAGTTGATATCACATCTGAAATGCGATCTGCCCAGATGTCCTGTCCTTTACGTGCTCATCAAAACCCACAAGCTCACTGCAGATAATATCCTCTCCTCGGACCCTGCAGAGTTCAAAGTAAGGCCTATTGTAAGCAGTTGTGGAGGTTCCAGTAGGATATCCTGGCTGCTGAACTTGATCCTCACGCAATTGCTTCGATATATTCATCTAACAAATACGAGCATGTTTCTTGAGCAAATGAGTAAGGCGCCCCTAACTAAGGAATGTGTCATCGAATCATTCGATGTCACTTCATTATATACCAATGTTTCGAATGAAGCAGCTATGGAAGCGGTTTACGAGATATTGTGCGAACACCATGGCTCTATCAACATGTACGGCTTTGATATCCGGCATGTGATGGTTCTTCTTAAAGGATGCCTTAGCTGCAACATTTTTCGATGGTGTGGGCAATACTATAGACAAGTCAGGGGATTGGCGATGGGCCAAAGGCTGGCACCCTTCGTTGCCATTGCCTAAAAGTCAAAAATTGAGAGCCCCGTACTAGCGCGCAAACCAATACTTTATTGCCGCTATGTAGATGATTGTTGTATTGTGTGCGCGACACAAGACGAAACTAGACACTTGCTTCAATCTGCTAAATAGCCAATCCCCATACATAAAGTTTACACGAGAGAAGCCCAACGAAAACTGGCTGCCTTTCCTTAACATCCAAGTACAGTTGCATGATGGATCATACAAGACCAAATGGTTTCGAAAACCAAGCAACAAAAATATCCTGGTACACTACGGCCCATCCTTGGAGCACAAAAAGGTCGGTGATTTCCAATATGTTTAGGACTGCAAAGGCAGTTTCCTCCAAGCAAGAACGCGCTACATCGTTAAGTCTTGCCAGACATATTGCGAAGTCCAATGGCTACCCCACAAACCATTTATCAAAACGTACCTGGCACGAATACAAATCGCGCACAAGCGAGAGTGAAGCAAAAATACCTTTTTGTGTTCCTTTTATATCTGAAGAATTCAGCAAAGCGATAAGGAAAAGCTTAGAACAAGCAGGCCTTAATGACTCCGTTAGCATTGTAGATATTCCTCCTCCCAGTCTTAGAAAACAACTAATTCGTAATCGCTCTTAAGATCGACTGTGCATGAACACCGATTATGTCGTATGCCCATTTGGTCAACCAGGCGATTGCATGGAGGCAGGAGTAGTTTATCAAATAACTTGTCAAACTTGCGGGAAAGAGTACATAGGAGAGACTGGCAGGCCTCTTTGCGTGAGAATCAAAGAGCACCTAGATGGTCTTCTAAAATCTAAACCGAACACTCCCCTAGGCGCACATCGCAGAGAGTATCACTCAAATCAACAATTTGATATAGCCGTCACAATCTTAACGCGTGAACCCGAAATAATTCCTCGTAAAACGCTAGAAGCATTTTGGATAACATCCAAAGCTCCTGCAATGAACCGCAAAGAAGAGGGCGTTGCCATGAATAGTGATCTAATCGCATATCAGTCCCTTTGCGGATTTGATCTACAATAAGATTAGATTCATCTATATAAGGCACTTGTACTAGTCTCTACTACTACTGACTGTGCAGACGCTGTGTTTAGTGGTGGCTCGACCCCGATTTGAAGACAGCCGAGGTGAGCATGAACGACGGTTTCCGTCACGGCTTTCAACCTGGCTTGATGTTGAATGTAACCTTGGCTTGAACGAGGTGTTCGGGAGAACAAACCACTAATGTGACGACCTTCCAGGCTCCGACGAAGGTGAAGGCACCGAAACGTTAGCCTGATTGAATAAAGCGTGCTATAATCTTGGTGATCGGCTCAAGTAAACATATACAAATATCTACATCATGCCAAGATTTACCAATAATCGACTTGGAGTCTCTCAAAACAGCTTAGTTAAAGAATTTGAAGATGTCAAACGGAAAGGTTAAGCTAGGGCTTAGCTCTGGCAATCAAAAACGTTTATTTGTATTGCAGTAACTAGATAGGATATCTTAATCGTCTTATGTAATGGCATGATTTTGCCATCCACTGGCAACGCCCGTGAGACAATGATAACGAATAAGCTTCTGCGATAAAAGCTAAGCCCCCCTCATTCCCAGTCTGCTTTGCCGTAAATTGGGGTAAAGTTCACTAAGACTCCAAAATTCATCCAGTGTTCTTCGCAAGAAAGTTACAAAGAAGTTGAAAGAATGAAAATACTCAGTCATTACATCGGAGAGTTCGCGGGCTCAAAGCGTGCTACATGGGGCGCCGCGGCCCTTAAGATTTCAGCCGCGCACGCCGCGGCCTATGTATATTTTACCTGGAACGCCGCGGCCAAAGTTAAAATTGGATAGAGCCTATCGGGAGAGTCGCGGCCCAATCACCTCATTCGGCGTGCCGCGGGCCTTATCAAAGGCCACACTTCTTGCACGCTGTAGCTTAAGGCGCAACCCGCGTGAGGTACGCCGCAGCGATGGGGCTACCCTGAGTGTTTGCGGGGATGGTTACCGCTTCTTGGGTTGGATTGCGTGACAGTTGAGTTTATATGCTCACAAAACAAACTTTAGCGATCGGTTGAGTGTTATCGACGACAGTAGATAATGTCGACAGATGAGTTACAAGTCGCTCAGTACTTAGTCGTTGTCATGACTCAGCGAAGTCCTTCAAATTAAACTGATTTTCCCAAACTACTTATTGTCAGGAAAATGTTTTTATTTAAGGAAAGCACTGACATATTTTCGAGAAGAATTAATACAGCAGAATGAGTCCAGCAGCTTTTTGTATTCACACCTTGATTCCAATCCACCTATTGGAATAAAAGCGCTTATGGATAATTTACAGATGTAACGGAGGGCAGTTGCTCAAAGCCTTTCAGTATGGAATGTCCTATGGAGTATGTACTGGTGGTGCATACAATGCAATGGTGTGCGATGCCCTCAAAGAGATAGAATAGTTGCTCGATTCTTCAGAATTGCTGCAAACCATACCCGTTCCCTCCACATAGTCTAGACAAACAAACGCCAATTTGCCGCGCGCAATGTCAGTTTGGATATAACATCGATTATAACTACGACAAGATTTACGGTAATTGGCACTATCTCGAAAGCATTAAAAGTAATTATGTTATGCTGTATAGCAAATTCCGCATATTTCGTCGCTGCGAATGAAGATGCGATTCGAAAGGAAATCTTCATGAATGGACCCGTTCAAGCAGGATTCTTTGCTTACAGCGATTTCCATTATTACAAGAATGGAGTATACGTGGTAAGTACTCACTTTAAAGCCATGCTAAATTTGAACCTTTCTTAGTATATTATCACCTACGGCAGAGCAGATTGCACCTATCACATAAGCATTCTATAATAAAAAGAATCACCCAAGTTTTCTCCAAAACGTTTGCTAATAAGGTCAATCAACCTTTGTAAGCATGGAAGCATTTATCTAGGTTTGTATAAATGTAGCTTTCTGAATTATATCGATAGGCTCGCGCGATAAGTAAAGCTGTGATTAGAAAACATTTGTTGAATGCGTTGTTAGAGTCTATCAACTGCGTAATGTAAAAACATATTCGTTAATGTGTTATGCTTGGCTCAAAAATTTCGAAATATGTAACGTGAAGATAATTAAAGGAGGTGTACTTTTTGTGTTGCAAGAGCAAATTCTCCTGCTCCGTAAAAGCAGTGTATAGAAGAAAGGAAATGGTACAAAAACCTAGAAAAGCCATCAACGATTTTCAAACTGCACAAGCAAATAGCAGCGTTAAAATATACTCTTCTTTGGGAAAACCTGATGATTTTGTGCTGCAAATAAAAGCTTTTTCAGAGATTTTTTCTTAAATCATTGAGTTCAGCCCCAATGGGGAAAAAAGAAGGAGGTCACGCTATCAAAATCATAGGATGGGGTGTAGAGAATGGTGTGAAATACTGGCTCGTTTCGAACTCCTGGAACTATGACTGGGGAGACAACGGTAAATTTGTTTGGGCCTTTGCGAACTCTTACCAAAACATCTTGGAGGAAACTAAATACTACTTTAGGTCTCTTCAAGATACGCCGAGGAACCAACGAATGCGGGATTGAAGAAAGAGTTGGCGCAGTTATTATGAATGCTTGAACTTTGTTTGATGGACAATAAACTTTGTGAATGCACGTAATCTCGCGCTTGCGTGAGCTCTATGGAGACGTACCCATGCCCCCGCGTTTGCCAGCATCAATATCATACAATCACCAAAACTCCTGGTTTGGACATTTACTTCCTTACAATAAAAGGAGTAAATAGAAGCTAACCAAGGATCTTGAGATTAGCTGATTGATAGCGGCATCCATTTTCAAGCTATCTGAAAATGTAGCACTGTTGACACATTAACAACTGCTTTACACAGCACACATGATGCGTTAAGCAATGACTACAGCACGGAAACTCTTGACGCACATGTTGTGTCAAGGCTTAAATTTATTTAAAATGATGACTATTTTGGCCCAAACTCACTTTAAGCGCACTCCTTTACGCTGTTCTTAAAAACAACTACCATGTTTTTTTTATTAGCCCCTGAAAGCTACTAGATATACTGCAAATGGTTTCTCGCAGATCACTATTATCTTATAAATAATGCTGAGGCATGCGCTAAACTCCTCAAGGACCACAGCACAGCGACGGTTATGACTTGACGTACTACTAGCTTTTGCCAACTAAAGTCGGCTATTCCATTTTAGATAACTTTGATTTAACTGGCTTGAAAGCTGGAAGGCAGGGCTTTGTGACCTAATTAAGGCCGCTCGCGCCCTCTACGCAGAATCTCGAGGGCGTGCTCTCTGATTGATCATCTGGCCTTAATTAGGACACGGAGCCCTGCCTTCCAGGGCCAAGCCAGTTAAATCAAAGGGTAATATCTGATTCATGACGAGGACAGTTACCCAAATAAGCTGAGCGCATACGAGATTGGCGCGCAAAAGGCGCGCGGGTAAATGTTATGCTTGGAGCGCGTTACGCATTAGCTAAGAGATGGCCTCGGGGTCCAGACACTGCTTTTCTTGTATTCTAACCGTATGTACATTCGAACTCTTCTCAACGCTTCTATTCGGAGCTAGGATAATATTCACAAACTTCAACACCCTACATGTCTTGTCAACATTTTTATATGCATGACTACAATCATCGTTCACCAATGTATAAAAACTCTTGTGTTAGCGCGTACATCGTTACCTTTTTGCGTCTTTTCTTTTCTTCGCATGCAATTATTCTTCTGATCAACAAATAAAATGAATTTCTTGTGCCGCACAGGTGAATTTATTGTGCCGCACAGGTTCAAGCGACAATCCAAAAAACTCTTTCAAGCATTTCCTTAACTTATTTATCTGCTAAACTTATAGTTCTTAAAAAAGATGAAAAAGTTTTTATTGTGGGATTTTTGGGTTGATAGCATTATATGACTGTTTGGAAGTCACGCCTTTTAGAGCTGGTTAACAAACAGCTTGAAGAGTAACTGGTACTTTCAACAATTTGCATTAGGTCCCGGGCAGACTTCACGGATTTTATTGTCGCGACTGAATCGCCGACATTTCCATTCATTTTCATTCCACATTCAAAAATTTCGGGCTGGAAAAGTATCACAACCGAAATGCAAGTTGATCGGCATGGAATGATGTTGTAACAGCTGTCTCGTCGCGATTCAGTCGGGACGATCAAATCGCGTGAAGTCTGTCCAGGGCCTTAGACATAACATATCATTTTTCATGAGAACATTCGGTTAACACATCATCAAGAAGGAAATTTTCAGCAAAAATGGGCTCATTAGTTGATACATTGAAGTCGTTGTGAGGAACAGTTTAACAGTCAGAGTGAGTTTGTCGAGCTATCAATAAACATGCAACTTCTACAATTTACAGCTTATAAAAACTCATACCGTCCAGAAAGTTTAACACGTCTTTTTGTTGATACTCCGTTATTTCAAGATTTGAGGCAGTATTTACACCAACCTAGACTCTTCAATATTCTACTCGAAACGTGGTTGGAAAGCTTTAGCTAATTTCGAAAACGGCAACATATCTTCTTGCTTCGTGGCAGGTTCGCTCGCATTGAGTACGCTTTAAACTATTAGGTTGATGCAAAAGAAATGGCCGATTTTCCAAGCCTTTTTTCAGGGCAACTTTGTTCCATCAATACTTCTTTTTCACAATGGATATAGTGTATTATCGCGAAGCTGTTTTCATGCTCTATCTAACGGTGCTTAGACGGTCTCTCATCCTTATTTTGTACTACTGGGTTGCGGGTACAATATAGGTCACTTATCATTCATACTAAGAAACTTTGAAGGAAGTTATGAATTGTCAAACACAAGGTTCCCACAGAAGAACCTTTTTTGTCTTTTAATTCGTATTTCTTTTCCCGTTTACGGTTTGAGTATAAATAAGTATGCGCTGTATTGCGAAAGGTTTGCTGCTTTTGGGGGTTTTTACCGCATTCAGAAATGTGGATCTTTTAGAAAGTCATAGCACATCAAAGTAAGAATTTGCAAATCGGCCATTCCTTTTGCATCAACCTAATAATTTTGGGAGTTTTTTTCAAGGCCATAACCGATCACATGAACTGTCGATTGGCAAGGACTAGGCCGACTCTCAATCACGAGAAAGACCATGGACTTGTGTGACAGAGATGTCTCAAGTGGGTCCCTTTGTTTGATCACTACTGCTACATTGTTCTTTGTTGTTCAGGGTACCCCTATTTGATGGACAGCTACAACGTAGAATAAAAGGACAGAAATTAGTATGTTCAAAAAAGAAAACATGCTTTAACAATTCAAAATTAAAACTTTATTCACTCACAAGTTGATTGGGCTCAAAACGATGCGCGAAGCGCACTGCTTGCGCCCAGTGGACGACTTTTCGATTCCCCTGTTGCGTTTCAGCACATCTTTCCAGACGATACCATCCTTTTTGACGTGTTCAACCTTGCAGCCAAATGAAGCTATAATACAGCCGAACATCGGTCGCGCTTCTTGCACGGAGACTTCGGGAAATGGGATTGCTGGGATTTGACGTGGAATTATGCCCCATAGGCCAAGGTCGGGAGCGCTGGCAGTTCGCAAAAATAACGAGGGCCAAATTGTGGTAAGACGCTGCCATCAAACGAAAGTCATGGGGTGTGTAATATAATCGTTCGGTTACATTATATGACATTTTAGCAAGCATGTACAAAATCGATTAACAGAATCAGCACATGTGGAAAAACTAGTATCAAAGTTTTTTGGTTTCCTTAAAGTTTTTTAGACAGCAAGCCAGGTCGAAAGCCGTGACGGAAACCGTCGTTCATGCTCACCTCGGCTGTCTTCGAATCGGGGTCGAGCCATTAAACACAGCGTCTGCACAGTCAGTAGTAGTAGAGACTAGTACAAGTGCCTTATATAGATGAATCTAATCTTATTGTAGATCAAATCCGCAAAGGGACTGATATGCGATTAGATCACTATTCATGGCAACGCCCTCTTCTTTTGCGGTTCATTGCAGGAGCTTTGGATGTTATCCAAAATGCTTCTAGCGTTTTACGAGGAATTATTTCGGGTTCACGCGTTAAGATTGTGACGGCTACATCAAATTGTTGATCCGAGTGATACTCTCTGCGATGTGCGCCTAGGGGAGTGTTCGGTTTAGATTTTACAAGACCATCTAGGTGCTCTTTGATTCTCACGCAAAGAGGCCTGCCAGTCTCTCCTATGTACTCTTTTCGCAAGTTTGACAAGTTATTTGATAAAGTACTCCTGCCTCCATGCAATCGCCTGGTTGACCAAATGGGCATACGACACAATCGGTGTTCATGCACAGTCGATCGTAAGAGCGATTACGAATTAGTTGTTTTCTAAGACTGGGAGGAGGAATATCTACAATGCTAACGGAGTCATTAAGGCCTGCTTGTTCTAAGCTTTTCCTTATCGCTTTGCTGAATTCTTTAGATAAAAAAGGAACACAAAAAGGTATTTTTGCTTCACTCTTGCTTGTGCGCGATTTGTATTCGTGCCAGGTACGTTTTGATAAATGGTTTGTGGGGTAGCCATTGGACTTCGCAATCTGTCTGGCAAGACTTAACAATGTAGCGCGTTCTTGCTTGGAGGAAACTGCCTTTGCAGTCCCAAACATATTGGAAATCACCGACCTTTTTGTGCTCCAAGGATGGGCCGTAGTGTACCAGGATATTTTTGTTGCTTGGTTTTCGAAACCATTTGGTCTTGTATGATCCATCATGCAACTGTACTTGGATGTTAAGGAAAGGCAGCCAGTTTTCGCTGGGCTTCTCTCTTCTCTCTTGCGTCTGTGACAGAAAGCAAAGCAGAGCGAAGAAGAACATAAAGGCAGTATAAACAACAGCGATACGCGCTTGCCTCTAAATCCTTTTCCACTCTAACTTTTAAGCCACAAGGTCCCCATCAAGTGATAGACGCAAAATTTCGAATACTAGCCACATCCGTTCTCACACTTCTAACACGCTTTTCAAAAAGACATCCCATCTCCAATTTAATACCTGCTCAGTATCTTGGTCTCCGCGAACTTCATGAACTACGCGCTAGTAATAAGATCAAGATATCCATTAGCGATAAAGGAGAGAATTTCGTCGTTTTGACAGGGGAACTAGATATGGCTATAACATGACACCACTTGAATGATGAGACACTATATCAGGCTTCCTCTGAGAACGAATTTGCAAAAGAGTATCGCCGCTTGAACAGACTATGGACAGATATTGCAAATTCTGTTGGCTTACCGAAGAAGTTGATATCACATCTGAAATGCGATCTGCCCAGATGTCCTGTCCTTTACGTGCTCATCAAAACCCACAAGCTCACTGCAGATAATATCCTCTCCTCGGACCCTGCAGAGTTCAAAGTAAGGCCTATTGTAAGCAGTTGTGGAGGTCCCAGTAGGATATCCTGGCTGCTGAACTTGATCCTCACGCAATTGCTTCGATATATTCATCTAACAAATACGAGCATGTTTCTTGAGCAAATGAGTAAGGCGCCCCTAACTAAGGAATGTGTCATCGAATCATTCGATGTCACTTCATTATATACCAATGTTTCGAATGAAGCAGCTATGGAAGCGGTTTACGAGATATTGTGCGAACAC